CCTTTGTCCTCAGTTTATGAAACCGAATGAGCTCTCGCGGGCCTCCGGGGGAGGAGGGGAGCGAGAGGGCGATGGGATTGGACATCGTCGCTCCGATTAAAAACGCAAACTGCGACGAGGAGATGCAACGGCGAAACGACCATCACGGACGAAATGGGCAACGCGTTTATTTTGTTGTTTACAAATTTACAAAAAAAAACCTCAAACAAAACTCGAGCCACCGAGTTCTCGAGTCTCACTTCCTATGCTGTGGTGTGTGTACTCAAGAAGCCAGCTCCCCTCCCTCCCCCCGTGGTCAACCGCGCATCACCTGCCACCCGTGCCGCTGGTCTCCTGCTTCTGCCATATTACCCTCTTGTCGATTAAGCCTCCTTTCTCTGCCTTTCCCCTGGGTCCCGAGGAGGAGGAGGGGGGAGGGGGTCCTCGGTAAATGTCCCGTTGTGGAACACTCGACCCCCCTATCACCATTCATTCGCGCCAGCCAGGGCACTCTCTCCACAAGTATTCATTTAAATCCGCCTATGCCACCTGCGTCCTTTTTAGCTCAGCACGGCACGCGTCTCTCATTACGCAGGGTGCTTCAAAACGAAGTTAACACTTTGGAGAATTTGCAACAACACCACGTGACATGTGCTGCTGCCTCCGGGGCTCTGGAGACCTCCTGGAGAAGATTCCAGGCCACGCGTTGACAGCGATGGCGAACAAGTTGACTTTTTGAAGCTATTAACATTACATTTGTTATCATGTTACGCTGTATTATACAGTTCTTTTCCCATTAAAAACGATAGTCCCATATAAGTGTTAACATTTTTTAAGCACCCTGTATACGCGCGTGTGTGTGTGTGTTCCGCACCATAATACTCTCTCTGCCTTTATTTAACTCCGTCTCATCGTTCTACCCCCATTTTTATTTTCATAAGGTTTGGTTTTTGTACCAAAACAATAATCGGGAGCGCGTACAATTTCTCGACAAGCCATTCGACCAATAGAGCCAAATTCTATCAATTCAATGACGGACGAGGGCCTACCCTGCATCGCGGGCCGCGAAAGACTCTTCGACCATACCTGACCACTCTGACCAGTGTGAGTTGTTGTTGACGATGCGGTGGAGTGCAGAAGAGCAAGGAGATTGCTGCACCCACCTCCCACACACACCCCCACCATGTTGCTTGGTGGCCACATGACTGCAACGAGCCTCAATTCTGCAAAGCTTCCAGTAACTCTCTTGGCCATGTGTGAACACGATGAGAGCCCACTGAGGTTGCAAAGTGAACTGGTACACTCGTGCAATTAAGTAAATTACCAATTTGTAAGCCATTCATTTTTTGACACGTGAAGTGTGGGTTTTCTGTGTGTTGTTGTGTATGTGGGGAGCGGTCGTGTAGCGGTTAGCGCTACGCTGCGCCACGAACCCGGCGATCCCAAGTTAGATTCCCGCTCACGGCCAACACCAGTAACGAATATTTGAACCGGTCCTGGGCCTCCCCTAGATCGACTCAGCATATAATGAGTACCTGGTACGATGTGTAAACATCGCCACTGGGGAGACAAAGGCTGCCGGGTGTAGTGCTGGCCACCCACCCTCTCGTGGGCCGTCCCGGCCTTCATAGGTGCTCGCTACAGCGCTTGCCCCAACAGTCTCTTAAGGCCTCCTTTGCCAGTAACAAGATATAGTACACAGTTAAAAGGGTAAAACCTATTACTATATCTTGTTACTGGAAAAGGAGGTCTCATAATGTAAATGCTCACCCCGAGCCCTCAGTACTCTGATAGTGCGCTGTTTTTGAGTTGTACGCCTTTTGGCGTCTTCTGGCCCAACACCAGTGGAGACTAGGCTCTAAGAAAAGCCGTCTCGGGTGTGGACCAATCAAATTCAAGGACAGTGCATATTATTATCAGAGTTGTCTCTTTTGTTTGCATTTTGACTGCTTGTGTTGTGGTTATTGCAAACATGATGCCTTGAATAAAGGTGTCAGTTTTTGTGCCAGTTAAAAGGGTTAAACCTATTACTAGTCTCTTAAGGCTTTACAGGGATCTTTGTCTTGTGCGTTTTGGTGCGACTGGAACGCGACTGGGCAGTTCGAGACAGTCACCCTCCAACAACAGCGGAGCACAGAGGAGCGACGCTCACAACAACGTAGCGGAGCTCCGGGCAGCTAAAACACAACAAGTTGGCACAGTGGGGAGCGCATCTATCTATCTATCAGTCATCTCAGTCAGTCAAGCCACGGTACCTGGGTCTGTCACGTGACCTCCAGCCAGTTTTGGACACTTCACGTGGCACTCAAAGTGCACCTAGCCTGGCACAAGCGCCGTGGTGACATCATCCCCACTTAGGGGGACACTTGTCGGTTATTATTGTTGTTTTTGGTGCAAATCGCACGGCACTTGCAAGTGCCATGCGCATGTCAACAGCTCTGCTCAGCACTTGTGGTTCGAGCTATTGAACCTGACCTGGACTTCTTCTGGGTCAGCTCGGCATACAATGAGTACGTGGCGCGGCATGTCGACGTCACCGGCGGAGAGAAAAGATATTTCCACACCACCCCCTGGTATTTTGGGATCTTCGTGTTTGTGTCCGGGGTCGTGCCCATGTGCTTCTATCGTGCGTAAGTGTCCTGAAGCGAACTCACCCTTGAAAGCATCTGATTTAACAAAAAAAAATCTGTTATATTGCATGTATGTTGAACTTCTTCCGCACCGTACGTAGCCGAACGCGCTGGAAACTGCTCGGAGATTAATGTAATCGCGATGGTTTGATTAAATGTGTACATACGGCACCGGGGGGGGGGGGGGGGGAAGGGTCATGTGTTTCGAGAGAAGAGCGCATCTTGTAATTGCAATGTTCCAAGTTTATATCATCCATAATAGAGATTTTTTTTTCGTCTTTGAAACTGTTTAACACGTAGTAGGCTTTCGTGACCAATATCACATAGGGTTTTTTTGGGGGGTTAGATCGCGTCAATATAAATGTGTCGTTAAACCCGCCACCACCCGACACAGGCAATTAGTAAGGTTTGTCACTTAAACAGAACGTGCCTATTCGTTACTAGTACAGCACACCGGTGTGTTGGAGAGCAAATGCACAACATTTACAATCTGAGTATTTGACTTTCGTTTTTCTCGGCTTGATCAAACGAGCAACCAATTGTGGAAAGGCAACGGCAGCTGTCTTTCTTTTTTAACAGACTTGTCCTCTCCATGGAAATGTGGAATTGTCACCAGTGGCCCAGGAGCTGTAACCGGGAGATGAATATTTGTCCATTTCTCGTTTGAGTGGAACACGACTTTGGACTTTATTGGTTAGTGTCTTCACTGACCACGATCATTTATATGACCTGCTCTCTGCTAACATAACCTGGCCGGCATTGGATGTTCATTCTAAAATGTATAAACTGTATCGTGGTGACATTGCCAGGCAAACTTTTGTTGAAATGGAACTTGTTGCTCGTGCGGAATTCTGAATAAGGACGCTGCATTTCCTTTGCTCCTTTTTCATTAATTAGCCTTTGCATTTTGCTGAGGCTGTTGAAAAAGATTTTAACGGTGAACGCTCCTCGCGGTAGATTAACATGGAAGGAACTTCAAATGTGCGTGACAGCAGTGATTAATGAAAATATCTGTTTTAAAATATTGTAAAAAAAATCAAACAAACCGTGACACCGTGTTAACGTAAACATTACTTTTTTTTTATAACCGTAAAAAAAACCTTAAACAAAAAAAAAATCCATCGCTGTAAAAATTCCCTCTCCGACGACTCGGCAGCGATTAAACCTCCTCCTGTCACCTGGCAGGGAGCGGGGGGGGGGGCGTAGGAGGAGGGGGCATGGTGGGGGGGCATGGTGGGGGGCATTGTGTTGGGGGGGACATGGTGGGGGAGCATTGTGGGGGGGCATGGTGGGGGGGCATGGTGGGGAGGGCACGGTGGGGGGGCACGGTGGGGGGGCATGGTGGGGGGGGGGGGCATTGTGGGGGGGGGCACGGTGGGGAGGGCACGGGGGGGGGGGCACGGGGGGGCATGGTGGGGGGGCATTGTGGGGGGGCATGGTGGGGGGGGCATGGTGGGGGGGCATTGTGGGGGGCATGGTGGGGGGGCATGGTGGGGGGGCATGGTGGTGGGGGCACGGCGGGGGGGGGCACGGTGGGGGGCATAGTGGGGGGTGCACGGTGGGGGGGGCATGGTGGGGAGGGCACGGTGGGGGGGGGGGGCACGGTGGGGGGAGGGCACGGTGGGTGGGGGGGATTATTGTGGGGGGGAAGGTGTTCCCCCGTCACCGCTGGGTAAGAGGCTCTGGCCGGCGTGTGTTGTTTGTTATTTTATTTCTCTCGAAGTTAATGAGCGCAGTGCCCCGAGACACCGGCGGTGTTGACCGTGGGACCGACCACACCAGAACGTCAACGGGCCGGCGGGCGCCACTCCTTCTTCTTAAATGGAACGTCCAAAGGCACGAGTGGTGCGATTGTGGCCATGCAACACAAACTATGGACCCAGTAAACCGCTGTACAGGGCGGTCCGGTTGTATTGTGACCCCCATTTAATTCTCTAAAACGTCCAATATATTTATTTAAGTAAAGTTAATATAAAATATAAATAAATATGCAACCAGACAAAACAAATTTAGGGGTCAGTTAATTATTTTTTTGGGGGGGGGGGTCACAACGCATCTGGACCGACTCTGTAAGTCTACGCTCCTTCCAACGTTATTTAGGAGCAGCAAATCTACAAAATAAAAAACTCAAACTCTCGACGAACGAAGTCCACTCGTCGTGGCCAATTGCCATTTAGCTGACCAACATATTTACTGTCGTCATCGTCGTCGAACTGCGAGGCGAACTCATCAAATGAGCATAGCCCCCCCCTCCACCTCCCCCCCAAGCGGCCGGCTTACAATTACCAAGCACTGTCAAAAGTACGAACTTGCAACAACAACAACAACAAGAACAACAACCAGGACAACAACAATAATAACCGCGTGGCGTTGCCTCCGGCGCGTGTACAGGTGTGGCCGAGGTGAGGGTGGCGGCCGGCTTGGCTCGGCTCGGCCCGGCGCGCGTGGAAAAACCGCACGTGTCCGCCCGTCGTGGCCGCGCACGTCACTGTGGCACGCGGCCGCCGCAGCCATGCCGATGCACCCGGTGAGCACGGGGCTCATGTATCGCGGCCTCTGCAGCATTCCTGAGCTTCCCGAGGGACCGCCCGACATCTCGGAGGACGAGGTTCAAGGTACGTGTTGCGGTGTGTGTGTGCGGTGTGTGCGGTGTGGGGGTGGCCCCAACAGTCTGCTAAGGCTATGCGAGGGATCTTTGTCTTTGTTTTTTTTTTTGGGGGGGGGGGGGGGTGGGGGTACTGTGGGGAGTGGTGCACACGTGTGTGTGTGTGTGGTGGGGAGCGGTAGTGTAGCGGTTAGCGCGCTGCACTTCGAACCTGGCGACCCGGGTTCGATTCCCGCTCACGGCCAACACCCAGTGACGATTATTTGAACCTGTTCTGGGCCTCCCCTAGGCCTACTCAGCCTCAAATGAGTACTTGGTGCGGGGTGTAAACATCGCCACTGGGGAGACAAAGGCGGCCGGGCGTGGTGCTGGCCACCTACCCCCTCGTGTACCGTGCTGGCCTTCATAGGTGCTCGCTAACAGCACTTGCCCCAACAGTCTGTTAAGGCTACAGGGGAAACTTCGTCTTGCACGTGGATGTGAAAAATGTATCAAATGTTTCTGCCTTCCTCCGGCAGCAGCGTAAGAGGACCTTTGTGACATAGCCTTGAGAATGGTGCTTTCCTAAATGTATTATTAGTGTTGCTGCTGCAGCACTAGAATGAACATTGTCCTTTGAACGTTTGTTGATGTTTATTGGGAGACATTTCCACTTGTTTAACTCAGAAAAGCCTCTTTAGGCAGGACACGCAGAGCCAGATTCTCATCTTGGTGAAACAGCCTAAACGATTGACAGTATTTATGCGAATATTGCCCCATGTAAATAATGTGGAAAATGTACTTTCGTCAAGCTAGTCACATCAAGGTGTAAATATATATAGGAATCAGAACGTAAGTTAATGGCACGTGGCAGAGCACAGGGACACATGCGCCTGGAATTCCATCGCTTCAAATATGTCCTCGGTTACCCTCATGTCTAAATCACCACGTGATGCTCATCTGTCGATTCCTTATGATAACTTCACTTGCAATTGCATTTGACATACATCCACATCTGTTTACTGATTGGTGACAACAGTCAGGCTGTATCTGTTTAATGTTTCTAAAACGTATAAGGAACAATCTGAAACATAATCTGCCTGAGCCGACTTATGCTTCAGGGAGTTTATGATCTCGGACATTGATTTATGTTCGTGGTATATATATATACATATTTTTCCATTTCACATGCGGCAGAAATTGTTTTGGCTCCCATTCATATAATTTGCTTTAATCGTTGTACTTTTAGTTCGAATTGTGTTGGCTTTTTTTTGTTATTCTGGTGACCACCGCCCTCCGCCCAGGTGACTCTTACCGATGAGACTGCGCCCACCGTTTCTCTTGAGTTCTCACCTCATGGCTAAACAACAACAACAACAGCAACAACAACACAAACGAACGTGAAACTTTAAAAAAGTGTCACGGCCGCTGGAACTCGCCCTGGGGGCAAAAGGGGCCACGTGTTGTGGCGGGGGAGGGGCTCACGTGAGGACACGCCGACGTGTGTGGGGACATTTGAATGCCCTAAGTGCGCGCACGGCATCGCCGTAAATATCAGGGCATTTGGCCCATATGTCAGCCCATCATAGAACACGTGGGTGCATAAAAGACGCCTGTTAAAGCGTAAGAGCGTGTCGTGGAATAGCGATGTGATTGCTGGTGAAGGCGCGCGAGTCACTCTGCAAAGGGAGGGGGGTGGGGGGGGTGATGTCCCGGGCACGAGCCAAGGAGGCGCTGCGAGAGGTGGGAATTTAAGTCCACGGCATCAGTTCAAGTTTTAAGTTTTCAAAGCTCAACCCCCCACAAAAGGTCAAAGACCCACCGTGTAGCCTGAACAGACTCCAGGGGCTAGTGCTGTTAGCGAGCACCTATGAAGGCCAACACGGCACACGAGGGGGGTGGGTGGCCAGCACCACGCCCGGCCTCCTTTGTCTCCCCAGTGTCGATGTTTACACACCGCACCAGGTACTCATTTGTGGCTGAGTCGACCTAGGGGAGGCCCACGACAGGTTCAAAATGATCGTCACTGGGTGTTGGCCGTGAGCGGGAATCGAACCCGGGTCGCCGGGTTCATAGCGCAGCATAGCGCTCACCGCTACACCACCGCCCCTCCCCCCCACATCCCCCCCCTGTTTTTTGCATTCACAGAATTAACATCATCCACACGCAGTGTCCACAATTAGTACCCGCGCCACAGCGTCGCCGGCCCTGTGGATCGTGGCGTACGGATGTGCGCAGAGGTAGCAACAGTCGTGCCGCCGTTCGTAAGGGACAGTTCTAAGCGACTCATTTCCCCTAACGGTGGGATTTCTCAGGGCAACGCGCTTAGTTTGTTGTTGTTGTTGTCCTCCTTCTTCAACTAAAAGCAGAAGTAAAAAAAAACAATTCCCTGGAATAAGACGGAGATGCTTGGCTGTGCGACGGACACCCACGCAGGCAGCGGTTAATGAATTTAAAACGGTGCAATTCCAATGTTCAACGAGGCAGGCCCCCTTAGCTTTCTCTTCCACCCACCCACCCTGCCACCCCCCCTCCCTCCCTTTCCCCCACTGAGTTTCAATATCGAGTCGCGGCATAATCTGAAGGTTACCTCGCTAGTGAAGCTCCCAAATTCAATTTAACTAAATTTGCACACAAAAAATCCTCCTCCTCCCCCCCCCCTAAAAAAATTCGTGCTAAAAATACGCGACCACGATACGATCTGGGGGGGCCCTCCCCACAGTGACAGGTTCCTGCCCCCGCTCCTGAAGGAGCCACCCACTTACAAATTTAAAATTACTGTTGCAGATGAATAGGACCCTGCTGCTGGGGAGCTAACAACTGTCTGTTCCTGCTGCTGCTGGACCACTTTGAGGGTTGATTAAGAATGGAAGCTCTCCGTGTTGAGACACAGAGTGCGGGCTATCCACATGCCGCGGGTCTCAATTGAGTGTGATTCCGGTATCTGTATATCTTCCTGTACGTGGTACCAAACCCCTTTGGAAAAGAGCGCTTGGATATGGCCTCAAGGTTTTCAACGGCGGTTAAAATGTCACGCCCACTGACCCTGTACAATTATTTTAAGGTGCAGCTTACTTTTTCGGATGCACGTGTTTTCAATTGCAATTGTGGTCTAAAGTGTTCTAATGTATGGTCCTCGTTTCATGCTTTTGGTTGTGATATTATCGCGGCCTTATCAAATGTTCTCATTGGTGGAAAATCAATCTTGATGTCATTGAAGCAGGCAGATATTTATAGAATCTGTAAAATGCAATGAATTCCAAAGTTACTGCTCTTCGCCAACACAAATACATTCTAAGATGTGTTGGTGTTAATGCAAGTAAATTAATACGTAACAATATTTTGGCTCCGTTTAATCCAAAGCGGATAATTAAATAATTAAATAATTAAATAATTTGCGCCACCTGCCTCTTCGCCTTTTTCACTCTTTTCATCGGGAGCATTTGTGTGAGCAGAAAACTCCTAACCGGTTTCAACCTTGTAGCTTATCGTCAGCAGTGTGCCCAGAAGGCCCATCGCCTGATAGACCAAGATTTTGAATTATTTCGTTGGTTATGTGGTGGAAATAAAGTGTTCAGTTATTGTTGTGTGCCCAGAAGGCCCATCGCCTGATAAACCAAGATTTTGAATTATTTCGTTGGTTATGTGGTGGAAATAAAGTGTTCATTTATTGTTCTGTTATGCAAATTGCCCACATCCCACCACCACCAGCACTCGCACGCAACCTATTCACCCCGGATGCACGCAGTGTCATCGGATGCCGAAATCGAATCAGGCCTGAGCCAGATGAACACATTGGTGGGGAAACTGCCTCTTGTAGGTTTGTGCTGTGCGGCGTTGAGAAAATGCCAGTGCAGCCGTGGACTCTTGATTATACGAGTCACGCTCAAGTTAACCCTGCACTTAAAATCCTAAACCATTATCAATTAACTTGACCAAACATCCCAATGACAGAAAACCCTCCTGCCAAACAGCGTCGAGACCCCCCACCTCCCCCCTCTTTGAGGCGTTCATCCTTTGGCGAATTAAAGGCCGCACCCCCACGCGGTTTTTCGACCGCTTTGCCCCCCCCCCCCCCCCAACCGCGTGACGGCTTTCCGCGGTGTTCGTTTGTGGTGCGGTGCGCGTGCAGAGATCCGGGAAGCGTTTCGCGTCTTCGACCGAGACGGCAACGGCTTCATCTCCAAGCAGGAGCTGGGCATGGCGATGAGGTCGCTGGGTCACATGCCCAGCGAAGTGGAGCTCGCTATCATCATGCAGCGCCTCGACATGGACGGTACGTGACACGCCACGGGCGGCGGCGGGGGGTGGGGCCCGGTTGGTCATCACACTCGGGTCGTGTCGCCCCTCCGCCGAGTTAGAAACAAGAACTGTGACACTCACAAGAAGTGATTGCATCGCAACGTATGCGTATGTTACGCATGTTGAACTTCTTTCGCACCGTACGTAGCCAACCGCGCTAATCGGAGGTGCGGGGTGAAAACTAAGGAACAATATCGAAAGAGGAGATGACTACACGTAAATTGTCTTAGGCAGTGTATCATTGCACAACTAACAACAACTGGATTTTGTTGTTGTCGTTGTTGTTGTTTAACGTCCCGGAAAGTATTTACTTATTTCCCCACGGGAGCTTCCAGCACGTCAAAAAGAGGAGTATCACGGGGAAAACCCCAGCAGGGGTGGCAGCCCTAGGCCACACGTGACCGCGCACCCACAATTCCCGCCTGCCAAACGCCTCCCCACGTGGCTCACTCTCTAAGTCTAAGGGGTGCCGCTGTATACACAGCAGCAGCAGCAGCACAGACAAGCACAGACCTGAGCCCGTTCATCACTCATCGCCTTGGTCATAAAAAAAAACCGAAGTCAGGTGGAGAACCTCGTCGGCCTTTGCCGGTCAGGGGGCTGTTTACTCAGAAGCCGCTGCTGCTGTACGTTACCCCCTTTTCCTTCTACCGGGTTTCGAAAGAAATGAAAAAACAAGGCCGGTGATGACAGCTTTGGAGCGGTAATTAGAGGGGGGGGGGGGGGGCTAAAAATTTGCGGGGCTGTCAAAGTTTTTCGGGGGGTTTTGCCCACGGCATGAACGCCTCCCCATTGGTGTCCCTTGCTGCTGATGGAAGAGACGTCAAGTGCCGTGGCCAGCAGAGGGAGGCGAGCTGCCTGCTGGAGTGATGGGGCTGGTGAAATGCACGGATGTTGTGCGTGGCGGTGTTGGTGATGGTGCGTGTGGTGTGTATGAATCTGACTGAATGTGTGATAGTTTTGTGTGTGTGCGTGTGGGTCATGTAGCCCGCATGTCCAGCCACGGTCTGCCCAAGCAGCTTCCGTTCGGCTGAATAGAGGGGGCTAAACGGGCGCGACACGGGCTACAGAAGACATGGACTGATGTGGTACAATAGGATATGGAAGGATACAGAAGGATATGGACTTGCCGATGACTGCTACCAGCAATGTCAAGATAGGCCGCTGTGGAGGAGGTTTGTGAATGATTCTGCGGGGGAGTTGGACGCAGTCACCTTCCAGTAACAACGGAGGGTAGAGGGAGCGACGCTTACAACAACGAGCAGAGCGCCGAGCGGCTGAAGCGTAGAAAGTTTGCACTCGCTAACAGCACTTGCCCCAACAAGTCTGCTCAGGCTATACGGTGGACCTTTGTTTGTGTGTGCAGTGCAGGAGACTTGACAGGCATGAGTATGACCCTGGCTTTAGAGGTCAGAAATGTAACCTTGACCTCGGGGCCCTGCGAGCAGAACACCGAGGGGGTCGTGGTGCTTTGGAGCACTTGCGCCCACTAAAACGGTGCTTTGCTGATTCGCGCGCCACTGAAGTTGGTCATCTGTGTGGCTTTGGTGTCCGAGCACGGTGTTTCTCGACAGCCGAGCTCACCTTTGTCTCGCGTGTATGTACCGTATGCACGTTGGACTTCTTTCGCACCGTACGTAGCCAACCGCGCTAATCGGAGGCGCGGTGAAAGGACAACGAACTGAACACACAAAGCGGTTCTAAAGGAATTCGTTTAGAAGCGATCTAGAATCTTTGCAATCAACATATGCACGCAATGCACGCGACTGGGGGTGGTTGTAAGGCATTGGTTGAAGGGAGACGTGGATGTTCCGGCTAGCATGGGTGGTGGTAATACGAGCACTGAAGTGTTGTGATACCTATTCTTGGTTCTTTCGGTAAAGTCACGTAGAAGGGAAACAATAAAGTACTAAAAGTATAAAACATTAAAGCTTTATATCAAAATTTGTCGTGATACCGTTGGGTCAAAGGTCAACGATAACTACCAAAGTATTTTAGAGTTGTGCCCGTGCATTGTTTGGCTTTATTTCCGAGCAACATGCGGTACAAGCATGTTGCTCGGACATCAAGCCAAAAAACGCATCGGAGAACTAATAGGTCATCCTAGCAAGAGACTGGCCCCCTGTCATAGGAAGGTGAAATTTACAGCTGGCTCGAGGTCACAACGGAGCTGGGGAATGCCCTACGCAGGTGCGTGAACGGAGAGAGCGGCTTTGATTGTTGTGAAGCCTGCTTTTGAGTTGACTCTTCATGGCGTGAGCCATCATGAATGTTTGGTAACCATTAAGCATTGCCGCACCACCCTTCCAAAGAGATAACCGCTCGGCACATACACGGGCACGAAAGACATCAAACACCGTTTCTGACAGTACGGTGAACATCATGGGGAAAATTATGCAGGTCCTAATTGCGTATCTCAATGGTCTTAGATCCAATAGAGTTATCTCGAGATGATCACAAAACAGTCGGTTAATGACTTTGGCTGCAAATCATGCTTGAGTTTGTTGTGAATTATATATCAATACTAATCTACAGTCAGTCCACTGTGAGATGAAAGGCGTATCGCTCGTGGGGATGTTTGACCATACTTCACTACGCTGGTCAGTGCAATTTGGTGATAGGGCGGTGGCGACGGTGGGGGCGGGGGGGGGGCACAGGGGCTGTGGTTCGGAATACAGCTTGGGTCGCTCCGTTCATAGCTCAGCGCGCGAATCACCGTGCCCACCTCTCACTCCGCACGCCGTTTGATTTTGCAGGTGGGAAAATTCTACGCAGAAAAAAAAAAACCATCTGTCGATAAACTACAGCGTTCGAGGGTACCATCTCCTGGGAGAAAAGGTAGAATGGTCACGTTGGTCCACAACACTTTCTGTAGTGTGCGCGTGTGTGGCGTGTCATTGCGGATTCAAGTCACGAACAAATAAAAAATAAATGTTGCTCATTGGCCTTGACGTTGTCGGCACCGATTGAAATGAAATGTGCCCTTCATTTCCAAATCGCACTGCATTTCACCCACCCCAGCCCTCGCCACTACATTTGGTTCGTTGGAGATGCCGTGACGGATGGCGATGCCGCGAAGATAACCAACTGGCGCCGTTTACGATACAGTCGTCCAAACTCCGTCGGCTCGCCTCGCTAAGGGCCGCCACGGGCCTTCGAGCTCACACCAGAGGAGGACGGTGAATTGCCATGCAACAGTCACACAACTCCTTAGGCAGGGCGCGTGATCAAGTGCCCTCGAGGCGATGTGGTTCCGGGGGCAGGGAGCGGCCACAGGGGGCAATTGAGAGGTCACTCTCTGAATTGCCCTCTGTGCCCTCAAGGCGATGTAGCTCCGCATGCAACGGGAGGGCAGAGTGTAGTTCCTATCCGCGCTTCATCGGGGGACGCGTATTAGCGTGCACGTAATGTAAGCAGTCTGCCTCAGCAGCAGACCATGCTTTCCCACCTGATGACGGACGCTTGTGTTGCGCCCGAAACGTCGTGATTCATTTTATTTTATACCTACGTGACTTTACCCAAAGAACCAAAGAGTAACAGGGCGATGCGTTTATTGGCCCCGTTTTTGTCACTTTAACTGGGTTTCTTTTGCGACACGCCAAATTGGAAACAAATCCGGAGAGGATAACACGCTTCTGTTGCCAAGGAAACTAAAAGATAAAATTTAAAACATCTAAAGTACGAGACTATAAGGTAAGATACAAAACAATAAAAACCATGCAAACGTTTGTTCACGAAACAATCAGTAGCTGAATTTTTATCCCGATCGTCAAATTTATATTTGCTCACTCCTGTGAGTGGCATGCATTTGTATGAATCGTATTAGATTTTGAAAACAATATGTAATCATTATGCACAAAGTGACTCTCCACTGTTACAGCTGCACGCGACACGCCGCTATTGTTATGAGTATATTGGCACTTTCAAGTATATTTTTTTGTTTGTTTGTTAATGCGGTATTCATACTGGAGAGAAAAGTGATATCTGAATAAAAATTGGCCTTTGTTTATTGATTGCCGGGATACGAGTGCCACCATCACCACCACCACCACCGCCAATTTCGATAACATTTTGATCGGCTAGTTTCTGCCACAGATGACGTCAATGTTCTTCTTCTTTGGTTCTTTCGGTAAAGTCACGTAGAATGAGAATAAAATAATAAAATTAAACAGTAAAATTCTCGCGACGTTTTGGCCACAACACAAGTGGCCTTCTTCAGGTGAAAGGAACAAACCTGTCGGGACGACAGAGCTGTGTCGTCCCGACAGGTTTGTGTTGTGGCCGAAACGTCGTGAGAATTTTATTGCTTTATTTTATTATTTTATTCTCATTCTACGTGGTGACTTTACCCAAAGAACCAAAGAAGATGAATCCTTGCAGTCACGAAAGCTTCAAATCGAAAAGTCAATGTTCTTCTTTCGTATGGATTCATAGCCGCAGATTAAAGATGTAATTTTAGGGTTGTTATCCACTCAATAAAACGATGCTTTTGACCCCATTAAATAATCACGACGCTTCTTCGTGCGCACGATAACGAGGAAGTTGCCATCGACATTTCCCACTTTCCCCCCCCCCCCCCCCGGGGAATTCAAATGTGAAAGCTTTTTTATTTTCGTATGTGTACGTTTGAACGTTTTCCTAAAGAAGAAAAATCGAACTTTGTACAATAAACTTAGGGCGCATTTATGTATTTACTTACTTCGAAGTTTAAGCTTTTTTGTTTTAATATTTCAACGTTTTAACGTTTCCCCCTAAAAAAAAATCTAACTTCGTACAATAAACGCAGGGTGCATTGATGCATTTACTTAACTTACCCGTAATGTTATTGGCAGCGCCGGTTCCACGCGGCATCATTTCCTAGGCAACTCACTCGCGACACACGTGTGTAGCGAGACGACACGTGTGTAGCGAGACGACACACACGTGTCATTCGCATTTCAAATCCTGTTGCAGCAGCGTTACGTAACGCACACT